GTCCGGCCCTGGGAGGGTGACGAGGCTGGTCCCGAAGGCTCACGTTTGCCTTCCCTTGGCTGTCTCCCCTCCCCACCCCTAGGGGGAAAGCTGCCGTGCTGTGTCTCTCCTACCTGCCCGACATCCTGGTCACCGGGACCTACGACAAGAAGGTGACAGTGTACGACCCACGAGGTTTGTGCCTGGGGGGGCTTTAGGATCAAGGCGCCAGCTGTTGGTTGGGCCCATCCCAGCACTTTCAGCTGCTCCTTTCCCAGCCCCTCGGCCTGGAGGGTCTGTTCTCCGCCCTCCCGCTTGCTCGCTCTGCGCCTCAGCCTTCCCCCTTGTAAAATGGGCAGATGCTTCTGAGCCGCCTGGTGAAAGCGACCAGGGCTGTGCAAAGGGCCTGCTGCATGTGAGCCTCCTCCCGCATGGCCCTGCGAACGGTGAGGCTGTTAGCCTGTATCGGGAATCCGGGTCCCAGGGATCTCGCGAGCAGGAGGGGGAGGAGGGTGAATTTGCAGGACAGTCCCATTAGTGAGGGGTTCGTGGAGAGTGGAGCCGATGCTGCTGGAGCTTGTTGCTCCGCAGGATTGGGCCAGTTCAGCCCACTCGCAGGAACGCTGCTCCCCTGGTTTGGGGCAACCCCTCCCCTCAGCCTGCGGGAGGGAAAATCCACTGGCTGGAGGTGAAGCTCTGTGGGACTGTACCCCAGGTGTAACCTGTCCCGATGGGCAGCGGGGTCCCCTCCCTTCTCCACCCAGGGGAGCCTTTCCATGGCTTCTCCATGGGTGTGACCGCCCCAGGTCTGCCCACCCAGCCTGCTGCGTGAGAGAGTCTCCCAGCTGTCCTGTCTGAGCGCCTTGCGGCCACGCCTGAGCCAGACTGCAGGGCAACACCAGCCACGCCCAGGCCCAGGCTTCCCGCAAAAACGTGCCTCTGGTGCAGTCCAGGCCCCCGGACAACACGCGCTCGTGGACGGTCCGTCGTTCCATTGCTGGGAAGCGAGCTGGGCAGATCCTGCTGCCCTGACCAGTCTCCCCAAACCCTGCAGTGCAAACAGCCTGGGTTGGAGAAACCGGCAAAGCAAACGAGCGTGTTAAGCCCCAGGAGGTCACAGGAGGCATCAGAGAGAGAAAAGGCAAAACTCAGCTGACCCCCCGCGAAGTGATTTCGGAAGTCGCTCTTGCCGCCAGTTCATCGTGGATGCCTGAGGCCGTTCGGGGGCGTGTGCCCTCCCCTGTAGTGCTTGGGTGAGAATCCCCCGCAGCCAAGGTCCAGGAGACAGACAGTCAGTCTGGGTGGCCAGGAACAAAGCCTGCTTCTTGGTCATCCGTAGATGATTTTTTTGTGGCCCCACCTTGGGTATGTCTAGATAAGTTTACTAGACACAGGGAAATGAAGCGACGATTTAAATAATCGCCGCTTCATTTACATCAAAATGGCGGCCCCACTCTGCCGATCAGCTGTTTGGCGGCGCAGCGGGGCAGTCTGGACGCACCGCAGTCAACAAGGGAAACCTTTGTTGACCGCTCTGTTATGCCTCATGAAATGAGGTTTACCGGAGCGGTTGACAAAGGCTTCCCTTGTTGACTGCGGCGCGGATGCGCGCCGGTCGACAAGTGAAGCCTTTGTCGACCCCCCCGTTATGCCTCGTGAAATGAGGTTTATCGGAGCGGTCAACAAAGGCTTCCCTTGTCGACCGCAGAGCGTCCAGACTGCCCCGCTGCGCCGCCAAGCAGCTGATCGGCACAGTGGGGCGGCCGTTTTGATGTAAATGAAGCGGCGATTATTTAAATCATTTCCCTGTGTCTAGTAAACTCATCTACATGGCTCCGTCGAGGGAGCCATGTCGTCTAGACATACCCCTTGAGCCCAGCAGAGCGGCCACTTGCGCTGATGGTTCCTTTTGACCTCGCTGGCTCCGGGCTGAGGCCTTTTGTCTCCGGTTTGTGGCTGCCCTGCGGGTGGCGGGAACGTGCCTCAGTGGAGTCTTGTAACTTTGCATCCAGTGTGGCCGGGCACAGGTTGCTAAGCCCGGAAGGCTCCGCAGACCATGATATCCGCCACGAAGCAGACTGGGACACGCTGTGCCCCACAAGGCGTCCTTAGTTTGCTTCTAAAAGGGGTGGGGCACAGGGTGTCCCAGTCTGCTTCTCTGACCGCAAGGTGTGGCTCATGGGGGGGATCTGCCCACGACTCGGGGGGCAGGAAGATCTGGCCCATGGCTGGTGGGCGGGGGTGCAGACTAGACCATTCTTGCTTTGTTTCCCACTCATGAGGGATGGGTACCCAGGGCCTCGTGCAGGCACTTCCTGGCTAGGATCCCCTCCGTCACCCGGCAGAGCTCTGTCCCTGACGCTGTTCCCTTCCCGGCAGCCCCCCAGACCCCGCTGAAGAGTCGCAAGCTCCACTCCAGCGCCGTCCTGTCCCTCGTGGCCGACGAGCGCTTCATCATCTCCGGCAGCGAGGACCGGACGCTGGTCGTCTTCGATCGACGGACCAACAGTGTCCTCCAGAGGCTGCAGGTGGGAGCCTGGTTTCCCTCCTGGCTGCCAAGGGCAGTGGGGCTTGCCTGGGATCACCGCGGAGAGGAGGGAGATGGGAGTTTTAGACGCGCTCTAGCTGAGGCTCTTTTTAGAAATATGTAATCAGGAGAGCGTCCCTGACGCTGGCTACTTCTGAAGGAGGGTGTGGGGTGCAGGGAGTCAGGATTCCTGGGTTCTAGCCCTGGGAGAGGAGTGGGGTCTAGTAATTGTGTGGGTCAGGACTCCTGGGTCTGCCTGTGATGTGCTGGTTGACTTCTGGCAGGTCAGTTTCCCTAGCTGTACTGTGGGGGGTAAGAGGCCTCCTTCATAGAGGAAGGTTTGCAGTGCTTAAGGACTGACGTGCTTTTAGCTCCTCCCGCCAGACGAGCCAGAATTCAGCTCCTTCGCCAGCAATGAGGGGTGCTGCTCGATAAGAAACTATTATTAAAACATGCTGAAGGGCTGCTGTGCCCATGTGGAACCTCGGGCGCTTCCGGGTCCGTCCTCAATCTAAGTCCCCCTGAAACCTGAGCCTCTTTCTCCTGTTCCACTCCTCGTACTCCACTTCCCCACAGGGTCCCGAGAAACAGGGTGTTGTGAGATTTCCCCTTCCCCACCCGCATTGACCCGTCCGTGCCACCCTCTCTCTGCTCCTTTCTGCTTCCAGCTGGAATCCTACCTGCTCTCCATGTCCTACCAAGGGACGCAGCTGTGGGCCGGGGACAACCAGGGACTGCTCTACGTCTTTAAAAACAGAGGCGGCAGCTTCCAGCACAGCCGGGTACGTGAGCTAGGGCTTCAGGGGACCGGACCTGTTTGTCCCCCTTTCATCCTGGGGTGAAATCTGGCTCCTGCTGGATGCTGCTAGTTGACTGCTTGTGACTTGGGCCTCTGAACTCAGCTGATGTCAGCTTCCTTGTCAGTTTCACTTAATGCCTGTCTTCCATTAGCCCCGTGCTGGCTGGGTCTCGGGTCCCCATGTCCTGGAGGGCAGGGGAAGGGGTCTCAATGCTCCTTGACCCCCCTCTCCCCCCTCCGCTGAGATGGCAGCTGATGGCACAGTGGGAAGGAGCTGACCTGGCCAGACTTTTTGTGCCTTTAGCCCCCGTTTGTCTCGGTTCCCTGTTAGCATGGTAGTACCTCACGGGGGGGAGGGGGATCGTGACAGCTCAGACACTGTGGCGATGTGTCCACATGAATACCTGGTGAGGTACGAGCTGCCACCCTTTGAACCACTTTGGAGAGGGACCTGGAGGGTTGAGGTTGGGATGCGGAGAGTCCCTGGCATGGAGGAGACGGGTTAGGAACAGAGAGATGCTGGGATCCATGTGGGTTTGGAACAGGCAGGCCACGGCTTTCACCCCTGATGGGGCTTGCAGGGGGCTCATGGTCTCCTTCCTCCTCACAGTACTTCAACGTGGGTCACCGGTCCCAGATCACTGGGGTCTGGCACTCCCTGGGCACGCTGTACACGACCTCCCCTGGCATGGAGGAGACGGGTTAGGAACAGAGAGATGCTGGGATCCATGTGGGTTTGGAACAGGCAGGCCACGGCTTTCACCCCTGATGGGGCTTGCAGGGGGCTCATGGTCTCCTTCCTCCTCACAGTACTTCAACGTGGGTCACCGGTCCCAGATCACTGGGGTCTGGCACTCCCTGGGCACGCTGTACACGACCTCCACCGACAAGAGCCTGCGGGTAAGATCCAGGCTTGCCTAGCGGCCCTTCTCCACCACTCATGGGAGCCCTTGGGACGCTGGCTACAAGTTACGTCCCTGCTCTGTGCCTCAGTTTCCCCACCAGGGGGTAGGGGCAGTGGCCCCTCTCGTTTTTCCATCTGTGTGCAGAATAAATGTTACAAGCGCAGAGGCACATGCCGATGTGCACCACCCAAAAAGCCACAGGCTGCCAGCTGTGGGCGCTCTGCTCACCAGCTGGGTGGCACCTGGGCAGCTGTCCCAGGGCTCAGCTTCCAGGGGACACGGGAAGGGGTGATACCTGCTTCCTGCAGGGCTCTGAAGGTGTCTTGGGCCCTTGGTAGCCGGCCCTTGTCCTGGGGTAGCTGCACCAATGCAAACCCCCTAGTGCTGACACCAAAGTACCAGTGCCCCCCCAAAACAGCACATGGAGAGGCTCCTCTGAGACTCACTAAGCTCTGTGCAACCTCCCCACAAGTCGTCTCTTTCCAGATACACGTTCCCACGGACCCGCCTCGCACTGTCTGCACACGGACACACAACAACGTGCTGAACGGGGTAAGGAAGCCCCGGGCCTCGGAATCGGGGAGGACAAGAGTGTCTGGGCATTGAGCGCCCAGCCACCTTGCGTGCTGTGCTCTAGCCGGGGGGAATCCCCGTCCCTGCACTCTCCCCAAGCCACATCTGGCTGACACGTCCCGTCCTGGCTTCCTTCCTGTGGCCTGGGCCC